CACACACACACACACACACACACACATATCCCTTGGAACTCTCCTTCTCTCTAACTCTGCCACATCTCTTCTCTCCCTCCTCATCTTTTCTAGCTGCTGGATGGACGTGAAGCCGTTCTACTACGCCTTTGCCCTCCCTGTTGGCATCATCATGGTGTTCAACCTGGTCATGTTCGCGGTCATCCTGCTGAGTCTGGTCACCCGGCCCAAGGGACTCCGCAGTAACCATGGCAACCACAAGGCCAGGGAGACCAACATCAAAGCTGCCTTCACAATCTTTATACTGCTTGGTTAGTATATGGACACTCGTGAACTAAGAGGCAGGCAGGCAGGCAGGCAGGCAGGCAGGCAGGCAGGCAGGCAGTTTAATGTACACCGGCTGGCTTGGCATTCCACTCACCCCAACTTTCATCTTTTAGCACAATATATCAATAATATTATCATGTGATGTAATTGGCTTCCATGACTTACTTCTGCCTTTCCTTTTTCCTCCCCAACTACTTTCCCCCATGTTACTTCTCTTGTGCTGCTCCACTGGACAAACATATTTGATTCTTCTTTTATTCACCTATTGAAGCAGTTGATTATTTGTTTTCTCTCTTTAACTGTTTCTTTCTTTGGTCCAAGTCACTCCAGGGGCCTTGCATTTAACCCCTACTCAGCAGCCTGAATCTTGTTTTCTTTTGATTTCTTTAGCAGCTAAACGTCTTAATCACACTTGATTAATTAGTCATCAATTCAGAATTACAAAGTTCTATCCGATATTTTTGGCCATTTTGAGCGACTAAAACCTTGAGATCAGAAAGGAAATGCTCTGTCTACTCTATAAAAATCGTAACAATATTTAGAGTAGTTATCAAGATACGGGTATTCAAAGAATTGCTTTCGAAAAAGCTTGACATATTGTGAAACTAAAAAAAGTTAATGTCAAATTTCTCAAAACTAGTTATTGAGCAGATAGAACTTTGTGAATATAAGGTAGCTTAGTTACTAAACTGGATCTTGTGAATCCTGACCTGAGTGCTGTCTGTGTTGCACTTATGTATGAATGCCTGTGGTAGAATATTGAGCTTCTTCACCCGTCACGGTAAATACATGACTTCTTTTATTATGAGGGAATAATATTGTATCTAGCATCTCCATCATTCTCTTGGGACGTATCCTGGTAGGGTTGAACATCCTGTCTCATGGATAATCAAACTAGTTTGTATGTGGTATAAGCCCTTACAATAAAAGTATTTACATTTATGTCTGCATTATTCCTCAGGTTTGACATGGCTTTTTGGTTACCTGGCTGTTGAGGATGCTCGGATCCCCTTCCAGTATGCCTTTACAGTACTCACCTCTCTACAAGGATTTCTTATCTTTGTGTTGATGGTGGTCCGGCGGAAACAGGTTCGTGTGTGTTTGTGTTTTTCTGTACAGGCTAAATTATTTGTAAGTTAATGACATACATACATACATGCATACATACATACATACATACATACATACATACATACATACATACATACATACAT